CTCTTTCTCTCTCTCTCTCTCTCTCTCTCTCTCTCTTTCTCTTTCTCTCTCTCTCTCTCTCTCTCTCTCGTAGAACATTTTAGGAGAAACAACCCATTGCTATAAATTCGTCCGTTATTTTTGGACGATGCGTTTAGCCAAGGTAACCAGAATAGCATGTTTTTATATGGTACCGATCCTAGCGATGACGAATATGGGTCCTTTTTATACAGTCCAGTGCCTTTGACATATAATACCGATGGTTCCCGTGTTTAAAGTTAGAGCGTTTTCGATTAGCTGTAGGTATAGCTCATCCAACCCAAAAAACATTTGGTTTTTTTCAGATAGCGTTTGACCTCTCCTTCATAAATTTTCAGCAAACTTCCTGAAGTGACGCAGTATCAATTTGTTTTAATTAACTGTAAGTAAATTTTTCTGGCTCGAGTATCAATAAGCATTTTCTTTTTAACTTAGTAAGAAAATGTAATCATTTACAAAGCACCAAAACTCACACAGATCCATATCGTTAAACTTTGTACAAGAGGAAGTTGATTTTTTTTTTTTTTTTGTGGCTGCCCGTTTTCGTTAAATCTTTTGGTTTGAAAATGTCCAATTATCATGTGTTCAAAAGTGAGGTTTGTTAGTTTGAATACAACACAGTAAAAAAAGGACAAAAGTGATATGTTCCATAGATATGATTATTTTCAACCTCAGACGGACGCGCACAGAAAGGCCACACGTGCCAGGGAGATGTGCCCTTTCGCATCAACCCATGATGTTGAAAAAATATTTCTTGAAAAGACAAATCAGGATTTAAAATCTCAAGGCTCAATTTACTTGGAATCAAACGTTATTAACAATAAAAACTGTAATGTTTTTGTGTAGGATGAGCTATGGAACAGACTGAGGAGTGTGGTGTTTGAGACTGTGTCATCGTGTTTATTTGAAGACGATTGTCCGCCTGTATATATAATGAATACCTTCAGGACTTTTGTACAGTTTGTAGTATCTTTGATATTGAGGTGATGGAATCATCATCATCATCATCATCATCATCATCATCATCATCATCATCATCATCATCATCATCATCATCATCATCATCATCGTCATCAACATCATCATCACCATCAGCATCATCATCATCATCATTATCAACATAATCATTTCGCCGGTGATGTCATTGTTGCTGCTGTTCTGATCGTCACCGTCATTGTTCGACAGTGTCATTGTCAATGCCACCAACACATTTGGATAGAAGGAAAGCAGAAAGTAAAATCGCCACCACAACAACAACAATAACAACAACAACACCGACAATAATAACAACAACAACAGCAACCACCACAGCTTCATCCTTAGCACTAACAACAACAACAACAAAACATTGCCGACAAGAAAAAGACAAACACTGAGATGAAACCCCACAGAAACAACAGCAATAACAATAACAGCATTGATGATTACTCAATGTCCTTTTCATTCCTTCATCTAACACACAGTCATCTTCCCACTACATTCCTCGATATAAAATGTCGTTTTTTGTTTATTTTGTTTATAAATGTCTGAGATTTCCATGACCTTTTATATTGAAGAAAACACTACAACCAAAATGCAATAAAAAAGATATTTGAAGAAAATTGTGACTTGAGTTTATTTTCTTAAGTGTACAAATGTTAGAGGATACTTGTTGGTGGTGAATTTGTTGCTGTTATTGTTAGTGGTGGTCGCAGTTATTATTGTTGTCGTTGTCGTCGTTGTTGTTATTGCTATTGTTGTTCTAGCTGTTGTTGTTGTTATTGTTGTTTTGTTGTTGTTGGAGGTGGTGGTGGTGGTGATGGCAGTGGTGGTGATCGTGGTGGTAGTGTAGCTGCAGTTACCATTTCTTTTGTTATCGTTATCGCCGTCGTTGCTGTTGTTGTTGTTGTTTTTGTTGTGTGTGTTTTTTGTTACCGACGTTGTTGTTGTTGTTGTTGTTGTTGTTATTGTTATTGTTGCTGTTGCTGTTGCTGTTGTTGCTGTTGTTGTTGCCGATGTAGCAGCTGCATTTATTGCTGTCGTCGTCGTTGTCGTTGTCAAGTCACGTGGCTCCAGTGGATGTCCAATCAACGGACTGTGACTAAATGCGTTCACGTGATTCTCCAGGACGTTCAATCTCGTGGTGCCAACAGGTGTGTCAAGAGTTGCGGGACTGTGTCAAATGTCCCTTCCCGTGAACGTGCGACAAATGCTCCATCCCATGATAGTCTGTCAAATGTTCCATCACATGATGGTCTGCCAAATGTCCCATCACTTGAGAGTCTGTCAAATGTCCCATACCGTGAACGTGCGTCAAATGTCCCATCACAAGATAGTCTGTCAAATGTTCCATCACATGATGGTCTGCCAAATGTCCCATCACTTGAGAGTCTGTCAAATGTCCCATCCCGTGAACGTGCGTCAAATGTCCCATCCCGTGACCAGTCGTCGAATGTTTGCCACTAGACAGTGTGCTATATATTCCATCACGTAATCGTGTGTCGAATGTCCTATCACGTGACCCCGAGTTGAATGTTTCGTCACGTGACAGTGCGCCAAATGTTCCATCAAGTGACGGTGTCAGCAAACACTCCGACAAGACACACTGCCGTACACACAGATACAGATCTTGCATTTGCTAGATTTCTCCAGGACTTGTTTATGCCTGTACTCCTAGGGCAATGGAAAAAAAAAATAAATAAATAATATGTTGTATTATCTACATTTAGTGGGAGGGAAGAAGAAGATGGGGGGGGGGAGGTGTTACGTATACAAGGGAGATAAATCAAACAGATTGACAAACAGATAGTCAGTCGAGATAGTCAGGCAGGCGGGTAGGCAGACAGGCAGGAAACATAGATAGATAGATAGATAGATAGATAGATAGATAGATAGATAGATAGATAGATA